GAACCGCTGCAGATTCTTCTCCAAGCACAAAGGAAGCTAAGCTGGGAGAGCACCCTTGTATGCTTGCCCTGTTGCTGCATCTTCTGTAGGCAGCTGACAGACAGCAAATACTGGGCTGGATCTGACCACTACTACTATTTTGATAATATCTTTTGTTATGCTGGGATTTCAATAGAAACATTTTAAAAAACATACTCTAAAAGTTAAAGATATGTCAGAAAGCCATCTGGCAGATTTTTTTGACAGCAAGCAAACATGCCAGTAACCCAAGGGTTGTGTTTAACTGACAAGTTGCTAATGTGGTATTTTGGGCATGTTGTGGCTTTCTAGATGAGAATAAGCCATGAATAAGCTTTAAAATATAAGCAATTTGTCTGAAGTTGCATCCTTCCTGGTCCCCCAGTTCCATCTGCCCTGTTCTTACACCGACTCACTGTTTTCTTACGCTGACTCAGTGTTTTGTCTTCCCCTTCAATAAGAGTAGATTTATATATGCAGGGTGGTACAGAGCAATGGAAACTATGTTGCTTTAAAGAAAACCAAAATAAATGTTCTGCAGGCAGTTGGATCTGTGTTAAGGGCTTTTCTTACAATGTTTCTTTGTGTTTCAGTTCCTGGTGGTTCTGATGGACCTAGCGGGGTGCTGATCTGTTCAGAAAACTATATTACTTATAAAAACTTTGGTGACCAGCCTGATATCAGATGCCCAATTCCCAGGAGACGGGTGAGAATTTTGGGATTCCTACCCTTTTTTAAGATTATCTTTGTCAGTGATAAATGAATGCTTGGTATTTGCATTTCAGGGTTAAAGACATCAGGGAGGTTTTAAAGTAAGGAAAAAGGGGTTAAAAGTGTGTTGGCCTATCATCTACCTTCCTGGCTGCATGTTACCTGTGAGGGAAGATGGGGGTGGGCATAGCCTGAAGTGATGAGCTTGGTTCATGTCTCTTCTCTGAGGTTTATGCTGGAGATACTCAAAGACTCTGATCAGGCACCACAGTGGCAGTGCTGTCAGTGTAAGATAAGATTACTTGAGATGGTGAGTCATGGTTGCCATCCTGTATGCAGGTGAAGACAGCTGCTCTGTTGCATCTTAAGGTTGCTTCTTCCTCCTTTGCAAATCGTTGTGTGCTTTGACAGTGCTTTGAACACCTGCCAAGGGTCAGGTGCTCAAAAACAGTTGTCTGTGGATTGCAGCCCTTGCCTCTGTGTTTGGGTTTGACATGTGAGAGTTGTCTGGGGAGGAGGGCAAAAGTGATAGGAGTGGGGTGTGCTTAGGCACAGTGTCTTTAGAAATGTATTTCCTTCTGGGGCAGAGATGTACCAAGGGTAACTACGGGTGTAATGGAGAGGATGTGCTTTGTGTTAAAAGCATCCTCACATACTCAGCTGTTAAGGCACCTGTGAAATGGAAATACTTCGGTCAGTGAAATCACATCTGCACTTGCTGGGTAATTCCACCAATGGCCTTCACTTTCTTTCTTGATAGAATGACTTGGATGACCCAGAGAGAGGTATGATTTTTGTCTGCTCTGCTACACATAAGACCAAGTCCATGTTCTTCTTCCTGGCCCAGACAGAGCAGGGAGATATCTTCAAAATTACTCTGGAGACTGATGAAGACATGGTAAGCATCACGTGAAGAACAACAAAAGCATTCATTGAGAAGATTCCTTGTGATTCTCCAAAGTGATAAATATTTAATATTATGGTTTTAGTTGTATAATGGCATGTGTTTTATGTGATTTGTAATACAGTTATATCTGCAGTTGTAACTGGTGTTTACTTGTATAGAGACACAGTGCAAGGTTTGCAAGATCCTGTGAGAATTATGCTGCAGAGTCACTTGGGCATATTTTAGATATTCTGCGGGCAGTCCTTTCTTCAAAAGATGTATTGTAAAGTATGGTCCATGAACCTGCTAGAGGGTGTTCCAGAAACTGATTCTGGGGAACTTAGTTTCTCTTGATCACAGTAGGTGGTTTCTCTTCATCACAGTAGGTGCTCTCTATTTTTCATCTCTTAATTGAATATTTACATGGTGCAATCAGTCTTTTTGCACATTGAGGTAGCTAGCTTGGTACACCTCTTCCATGGGTTGAAATAACAGGCTTGAAGTGGTGCTTGTCCTAGTATTTTGCAGTGAAAAGAAATCTGCTGCAGTGAATCAGTTGGGTTTTTTGAGTAAATGTTGAATGTTGGTTCCCCTTTCATCTACACATGTGAAATTTGGTACAAGGGATGATTGTAGCATCTTTAAGTGTCTTAAAGGTTGTTCTTGGATGCTTAAGCAGGAGCTGCTGTGACCATATCAAATGCAGACATTTGCTCAAGACAGTTAATTTTTCACGTGTTGGAGAATGGGTGGTGTTCAGTGAAGCAAATTTCTTCTTTCTTTTAGACAGCTTGCTATTTTTGCAGCTGTTTTTTTCCAAACTGACTCAGTGTTACCAAAGCAGAAAGTCTTAAAATAAAATGGGTAGTCTGACTTTTGTGTTCAAAATGGTCTGCTGGATTTTGTGATTTATAACCTGCTGCCCCAAACTATTGATGTGGTTATGCCTGTCCCACTCTCTTGCTTCCTTTCTTTTGAGAGGATAGCTAGGCAGGTTTTTTTTTATTAAATCACACATGTACAGCTCTAGTACTTCGCTGGCACAGTCACATCTTCCTCTGTTTTCAGGTAACAGAGATTCGACTGAAGTACTTTGACACTGTTCCTGTTGCTGCTGCCATGTGCGTGCTGAAAACGGGGTTTCTCTTTGTGGCATCTGAATTTGGAAACCAGTGAGTAAACAATTTTATGTCAGCATTTTTCCCCTGAAATGGACTGTTTCTGTTCAGGGCTGCAAACTGACCCTTGAACTTACTGAACATACAAAGACAACACCTCTCTTTTAATGGGTAAATTAATGTTTTGTTCACATGGCTTGAGCAGAACAATTGGTTTAGACTATGACTGAATGGGGGAATTTCCTTGTTGTTTGAACCCAGATTAGATACTATAGTGCAGAGAACAAAAGATTACATGCTGTTCCAGTAGGTTTTGGAAGAACTGAGCACTTGCAGTTCATATAAGGTCCATCATATATCCAGATGAATTATCTTTTAATTAGTTTGATAGTTTTCATTGAATTTTTGTGTGTTGTGGCCCACTCGGAAGTAGATAGGGTTTGTCATCAGTAACTGTCATGCTTTCCTGAATAGATGTATACTTGGGGGCTTTCTCAATTCATGTTTGGGGTTCTAGCATATTCTGAAGACTCAAAGAAGACTGCACACCTTTGAAGATGGCTTAACGGTGTCTAAGTGGAAGATTCACAGGAATGGAGTTTTATACTCTCTTTTTTTTTTTTTTCTGACTACATCTGTAGTCAGCCACCTGAGGGAGCTCCAGCCAGTTTACTGGAGTGAATCTGAATTAGGTTGTATAAACCAAGCTCTTGAGGAAGCCATATTCATTTGAGCTTTATTAAAACCAGGAAGTAAATCAGTCTGTCTTTCTGGCTTTATTTTTTTTTCCTCTGAAGTTTAACTTGATTGTTGTGATATTTAGGCTCATAAAATGGAACAGGGAATGTGGTTAAAAATAAGTGAGAATATTGCAATAAAACAGATAACTGTGGAGTTGCAGTCTTAGCTGTTGGCCTTGTTCTTGGCCTCAGCTGTCAGTTGGTCCTTTGGCTCTAACACAAGAATATCTGAAAGGCTCAAGGAGACCTAAATGGAGAAAACACTGAAACTCTGGGATACCTTGCCAGTGACAGAAGGCTTGGAAGGGGGAGGTTGTGTTGGGGGTGTTTTTGTGGGTTATTTGTTTGGGTTTTTTGCAGGCCTCTGATTTCCTTTAAACATTTTGTCACCAAGATGACAATCCTTAAGGCTAAATTTTAATAGCTGTATAATGTCGGGAAAGATTTCTATACTCCCTGCTGCCTAAATATCTAGGTAGGCCTTACTTAGAGAAGGCTGCATGAGCTTTGGACTGAACATGCTGTTGCTCTTGCTTTCTGTCTCAAGTTACCTGTACCAGATAGCTCACCTGGGTGATGATGATGAGGAGCCAGAGTTCTCTTCTGCCATGCCTCTTGAGGAAGGAGATACGTTCTTTTTTCAGCCACGACCTCTCAAGAACCTGGTGCTAGTGGACGAATTGGACAGTTTGTCTCCTATTCTGTGTTGTCAGGTATGTTGCCATCAGCAAGCTCCCATTCACCACATAAGTAAGGCTTTCTCATTTACAGAGGAAATGATCATAGATGCATGTTTGTTTCTTTGCTTTTTTTGTGGAGTATTTGTGTGTAAGCAGAGTCACTAAAGGTACATTGTCCTAGGTTTCCAGACATAGTGCTCTATACTAAATGCTGTTAGAAAAGCAAGTCTGCTAAATTCTCAGGCAGCTGCCTAAGACTGGTACCTGGCCTGGCAGCCTTTGATTCTTGTGGTGATAAATATATCTGGATGCAGGGTGTCAGCTAGCAGTCCTGTGCTGCTCCTCTGTTGACCATCAGACCAGTTCTCTGCTCTGTAGTGACTGTGGTTAAAACTTGACATTATTTCAGGGCAGCAGATGGTACACCCTGTGGCATCTTCACTGTTTTCAGTGTCTGGAAAAAAAAGAACATTCTTAAAGCAGTAGTGTGGCATATATAGCTTAGTTTTATTTTCTCTTCCTGTGGATATTGTTTGACACTATTTCTCCACGCAGATAGCTGATCTGGCCAATGAAGACACACCCCAGTTGTATGTGGCTTGTGGTCGGGGGCCCCGGTCGTCTCTGAGGGTTCTAAGACATGGACTTGAGGTAGGACTTCCAGCACTTTAGAAGAACAGCTTGAGAGGCAAGGACAGTGGGAGAAAATCCTTGAAATAAGGGTGCTGAAATGAAGGTATTCTCTTTTTGCTGTAGTCTGGAGAGCAACTTTCTCTAGGCTTGCTTCATAGAAATAGAAGGGTTGTACTCTTTACTCTTACAGTGTCAAAGGCTTTTTCTTCAGTTGACTCCAGCCACCTGCCTTTTGATTCTTCTAATACTTGAGTGTATTGAGCTGGAACATTCCTGGTGTATCTGCCAGTTGCTGCTGCTAATTTCTTTGCTGGAGGCAGGTGACCTTGTTTTGAAGCTGGTAATCCAGAGCTCTAATGTTGCTGCATTGTTGCTGAATGTATTTTACCCTGTAGCACATCTGGCATGGGGAGAGAGCATCACAGTTGAGAATTATTAGCTTTTGTGCCCAGTTGTGGGAAAGCTTAAAAGCTACTGGTGGTTTGGTGACTTACTGCAGTAAGTCTAAACATCTGTTTGCAAAAGAATCTTGTTCCTGTTTACTCTTAGGTATCTGAAATGGCCGTCTCAGAGCTGCCTGGTAACCCTAATGCTGTATGGACTGTGAGGAGACATGTTGAAGGTATGCAGCATTTTCCTAAAGTACAGGGAGGTGATAATGTTTTTTGGTGTGTTTTGTTTGTTGGGTTGGGTTTTTTTGTTTTCTGTCCAAGGAGATAGGAAAGGTGCTGCATGATGGTTGTGTGCCATCCCCAAATGTTATGTTTTGAATCGGCAACCACCTGTTTGTACTTAGAAGCCACTCTCTGGTCCCCTAGAATTGTCACACTTCCCTTTGACAAAGAAGCACCTGCCTGCAGCTGCATCCATCACTCAATATGCTCCATTAGCTGTACGTTTGCAGCCTGAAGCTGCTGAACTTCTCATCCTTTCCCACTTCCCATAAGTTCTTGCTCTGATGTCAGCAGGCAGTGATTATGCTTTTTGTTGGAGCAGACTCGCTGTTTTTTATATATGTGTTGACAACTACAGTAATCAGCTCTTTGTGAGAGACTGGGATACAAATTATGGAACAAAGACAACAAATCAGCAACAGTGTCTGTATTTTATTATTTCCCTCTCTGCATATGTCCAAAGAAAACAGTCTATTTGGGGCTAGGACATGCTTCCTATTCAAAAACCCAGCAGTGTATAGAATGCTGCTGATTCCAGGAAGGTCAAGATTTGGAATTGGCAGAATATACTGGATTGTGGGTTTGGTCTTGCTGGGTAGTTGGTGGTTTTTGTTGGTTTCTTCCACTTTTTTGGCCCCATCTGAAATAATGGGTTTGCCTTAATAAAGTACAAGAGGAAATGCAAACCCTTGTCCTGCCTTTCTCTTGAGGGCAAGAACGGAGTTCCTCAGAAACACCTAAAAAGCCTGAAATGAATATATTCTGGGTACTGACAGTCTCAGTGATTATTTCTGAGACAGTACTTTGTATAAATCTCACAAAGACTTCTGTAGGTTTATGCACCGGATAGAGAAATGCCAGATTGTTGCAGTGGAGACCTTGGCCTGCTGTGGTGACATGGTACCTTGTTTTTAAGCAGTAATAGAGTAGTGTGTCTTTCAGGGTGTCAGTCAAACATTGCTGTGGGATTTACCTTGCCATCTGAGACCTGCCATCAGTTCTCGCTGTCATGTTCTGAGACTCATGTACTGCCTAAGCAGCATGGAAGGAACTCTGAGTGTGAAATGCCTTTGTGTTTCCCCAGAAATAAAAGGGTCAGAAAGAAAGAGTTTCCACAGTTCATATCAAAAATATGTGCTTTTCTTAAAAGAGGCATTCCAGTTTGTTGAAGACAAATCCTAGTTCCTGCCTTCTGGAAAAGGAGTTGGTAACATTTGCTCCTTCTGAGAGATGGAGGCTTCTGACATCACCTTACACTTTTAAAATCTTTTCTCTTGGGGTTCCAGAGGATGACTTTGACTTATCAGGAGATGGAGGACCATTGCTAACCTACACGAAAGAGACCAGTCTCCCTGCCTCTTTCTTCCTCCTTCCAAATTCTCCAGGTTCCAGCATGAAGATCTCGATGATTTCGGAAAGGCTGGAATCTGTAGCTGTTGTGAACCATGCTACTTTTTTAATACAGTTAAAAGTTATGTGAAACTGATCCCCAAGTTACACCTCTCTGAATTCAGAAATGGTTTTAACGGGTTTTAATCAGAAAGACCGTAGAGCCTTTTCAAACGTGTCTAGTCTTGAAACTGCCCAAGTGCTGGTTTTTGAGTGTTCAGTTTGCAGTGTCGGGCTGCCTGGCTCTGCCTCGATGCCATGGTGTGCATGTGCTGCAAGGCCTCTGTAAGACACATACAGGTTTGCAGCCTTCAAAGCAAATACTAACCTTGGCTGGTACGTGGTGATACACACTACCAATACCAAGCCTCTTTTTTTCTTCCACAGGTGGCTGGTGGTGGAGGTGCTGATCACCACAGGTGTGTACCTACTGCTAGGGGCTACTGTACTGTCCCACAGGTTAACCACAGAGAATCCCAAAATCATGGGGCTACTTTTATGCTACGCTTTTCAGTAAATGAATTCTAGAAGCTGTTGTGTAGTTGGAGATTGTTGCCTTTGTAGTTCAGTAGCTGAGGAGTAGAAAGCAACTCCCATTCCATCTTGCAGTCTTTAGGGAACAAAATAATCGACTGTGTCTCTGCAGAACGGTCAGCTCTTGTTAAAATCAGAGGTGGGCATTTCAGGAGTGTTTTCAGCTTCCTTCTAGGCTGAGGGTTGGCTCCAAGCTGCTTTGTACAGACCTCCAAGAGAAAATGATTGGGTGTACTTGAAGCACTTGTAGCTATTGCTGGCATGGGAATACCCTGTGGTTGTGGGATGCATCTGCCCATCAGACAGAAGCAGATGAGATTTGGACCAAGCCCTCCGTTGCAGTTAAATATCGATGTCTGGGGAGCTAGATGGCTGTGTGCTTTGCTGTGGAGATAGATGTGATCTGAGACTTAATGGTCTGCATTCCCGACCCTGCACTCTTGCATGAAAAGCAATGTGTGTGAGTCACAGCTGCGGAGTCTCCATGCAGTAGTAAACAGAAGCCCAGGAAAATGTGCTGTCATCCCATCAGTATCATTTAAGTGAGAATAATCCTGAATTTTGTCACTGCTCATCTGTTTGTTCACCAAACTCCTCTGAGCTAGTGGCGACTATGTTTGTGTCGTGGCAAATTCAGATGCTGCAGAGCGTGAAGAACTATATCAGGTGTGAACTGGTGTATAGGAATGGAATTCTCATGGACTAACTCAAACTGAATCCATGACAAATAACAAAAAGGACAGTAGTATAGAGTTCATGGACTGATAGGTGATGTTTTCATAACTGGTCGTGATGTGTGCATGAAGCTGCAGAAAACTTGTGATGAAGGCACAGGAGAGTGAGTCCAGCTGTGGTTCTTCTGAGTCATTAAAATGTCTCTATTACTTGCTGAAAGGAGCTAGCTGGATCAATTAGAATGGTAGTAAGCATTCTAAAGTCTTGTGTCTGCATTCAAAATAATGTCTATCTGTTCAAAACTCTGGGCAGCCTGATGTTATGCTTGGGATTGTGCAGAGCTAAGTAGATATCTTTTCATATTAAAATCTATAGATTCTTTCTAACTGAGAATACTTCTCAGTGTGCCCCAGGGATTTAGTCCTCTTAATTTCAACTAGGCTGCTATATTTTCTGAACCAAAATTGTATTGTGTGAGTCTAGATGAATGCGTCTTATTCACTGACTTCATTCTGGTAAATCAAACCCTTTATTTCAAAAGCTCCAGCAGAGAGGCATTAAGCAACACTACTGGACTTCGAGCAAAAATGCACTTGTCACTATTATTGACGCAGACTTAAAGGCACACTCTAATATAACTGTAAGCCAGTGAAAAGAAAGAGCTTAAAAAGTATTAAGAGGTAGGAATGAGTTTTTGTTTAGAGTAGGACTAAGGGAATCTGTTTCGCTTTCAAATGGGAGTTCTTTGTCCTGCTCCAAATCACATGGTAAAGCCTCCAGCTGGGACATGGTGGTTTATCATGAGAATGACAGCCCCCAGGGACGAAGGCAGCAGCTCTCAAGAAGTTTGGAAAGCAATGATGGTCTTTGAAATGGAATTTTTAGAACATCCTGTCTACAGGATATTTATGAATTAAATGCTTAGCCTGTGAACTGCTAGAATCTCCATTTAAAGCAATCAAGGAATTCTTGTAGACTTCTGGTGTTTAAAAATTCATGCCAGTTTGTAGGAGAAGCTGCTATTTAGTGTAGAAAATAACCGGTGCACAACGGAGTATATCTTACTGACCTCTTACCATCTGGTGTTAATGTTAGAGAAATTCTCCTGTTAAGCCATGTGTTTAAATAGTTGGCAGTACTCATCAGTTTCTCTGTGCAGGTTCAGTTCTTGTTTTCTCATTTCCTCAAGTGGACCTGCTCCTGGTTTGTGGGGTTCAGGAGCATGTCAGAGGTTATAGGCTGTGACCACATAATGGAGTAGTAACAGAGTTTATGCCACAGACCAGTGTGGGAATTGCTTTAACTATACTAAGCTCTTCAGTTTGATCAGAGCTGTGGTCTGTATACCAGATGTTGGAGAGAAGAATGATGGTTTTTTTCGCTTGCATATTTTCAGCTGTATGTAAGAACTTTGTTACAAACGTGACACAGCAGGTTTGGCAATGCCTCCCTCTAAACAGGGTGGATAAGAAAAGGATCAGTTCCCGAAGCGTTTGTTAAACTGAACTGTTAACCCAGTTCAGTTTCTTTAAGCTACTGGGTGGTATTTGCTGGCATCCTGTATTCATCCCAGTGAGAGTTCTCTATTTTCTTTCTATACTTGGAGAGTCATTAGCCACTTCTCTGTGACTCTCACATTTGCAAATTACAGAGAAACTCTCTTCAAGGGCCAAAAGTGTGACAGTTCTCTCACACCCTTGCCTCTGCTAATTGTCTTGTGCTGTGGTATGTAAGTCTGAGCTTTGGGTTGAGTGGGGTTAAAATGGGGATTTTTTTTCTTTTTAAGAAATAGCACTTGCATGACAGCAGCAGCAGAAGTGGAGTTGCTTCTCTGAGGCAATCTTATTTCTTTACCAAGGCTCCTGGCTCCATTTCCCAAGAGACTTCATGGTTTCTGTTGCTTTTGTTACTCTGTTTTAATGAGACTCCTCCCTATGCCTCTTCAATGCCTCTCTCTTTCTGCAGAATGAAAATGGACAGCAGTAAACTGCAGCATTCCCTTTACCCAGTCCTGCTACCCTTGTTTCCCATGAAGTTTCCCTATTTCCAAATGAGCTCTTAAGACTATTTTGATTAGCATAGCTCTTCTACATCCAAGCTACCGGATTCTCCCAAGCTGTCCCCTTTGGGAGAATCCAGTACTGGAGATAATAGTTGCAATACTGTCACTTAATCCAGTAGAAGTAAAGGTCACTGTTTGCTCTATCTTAAATGTTTCTCATCCCAGGAGACTGTGCAGGTAGCTGTGTGAATGTAACCTAGTTGAGCTTCTGCCTGAAGGTAGCGCAGGCTGACTCTGAGCTCCCCTGCTGCAATGCACCCTAATCATTCTCTGCAGCCTTTCTATTGTGCGGATACTAGATAGAGATGTGGTCCTGCAACCTCCTGTTTGCAGCATCTGTGGTGCGGTTTCTGCAGATGGGTTCCATGTGTTCAGATTATTGGAATAGAGCATTTCATTTGACTTCATTGGGTGTTAAGTCTGGATTCACCTCCTCGTGTGAAGTGGGGCAAGTGTCTTAAAGGCTTCTGGACCTTGTGCTGTCTTTGATAAAAGTAGGCAGGAGTCTTGCTTTCCAGAATCCAGAGTATCGTGAATTGACTCTGTACCTGGATCGTCATCCCTGTCTCAGTCTTGCATTGTTTGGAGTCTAGCAGTGGCTGGCTTTTGGACAGTGTGTCCTAGAACGAACTTGCACAATACTGCCAGCAGATGTAATTATCACAGGAATTCTGAAGAGTAACTGCTAGACATCTGTCAGACTGCTAATTTTTTTGGGAAGCCTTGCATTTATTTAATCAGCACCCTCTTTTCCCTGTCTCCCTTGACCAGATGAATTTGATGCCTATATCATTGTGTCCTTCGTAAATGCCACACTGGTGCTGTCTATTGGAGAGACTGTAGAAGAAGTGACTGACTCTGGATTCCTGGGTACTACACCTACCTTGTCCTGCTCTCTTCTTGGTGATGATGCTTTGGTACAGGTAATGGAAAGCTGCTTCTGACATGTCTGCTTATATCTGCCACTCTTTGCTTGCTCCACGGCTGTGGTTTCTGCAGTAGTGCAATATATGCCATGTCTAAAGGTGCAGATTGGCAGAGAATGACACTTACTCAGCCTTCCCCTTTTTATGTCCTGCTAAGTGAAACTGGACCAGCTGAAGATGGTCCTAATCTCCTTCAGCGCACGCTCAGTAGTTGCTTGCTGTAGTTCAAAGATGTGGTGCTTCCAGCTGGCGAGTGGCTTTGTCCTAGTTCACCCTGTTGCATAGCTAGTGGATCACTGCGGCCAGAAGTGCTGCTTGCCTTTGGCTTTTTCTGTGTCAGAATCACCAGTGAGATGGGAGTTGTGAAGGGATAGTAAATACAGAATTAATGTGACCTTTTTTCCTTCAGGTTTATCCAGATGGGATCCGGCATATCCGAGCAGATAAGAGGGTAAATGAATGGAAGACACCAGGGAAGAAAACCATTGTAAAATGTGCAGTGAACCAGAGACAAGTAGTGATAGCACTGACTGGAGGAGAGCTGGTTTACTTTGAGATGGACCCGGTATGTGTGTTTATATTGTCAATGGGTTTGGAAGAGCAAGGCAGCGTATGGGGCATGCCAGAGATTGATCCTTGATCAGACCTGCAGAAAAGGGTTCTGTAGCAAAGCGTCCTTCTAGAAAGGATAGATCAAGGCCCTGCATATCTGGACTGTGTCTGAGATGATTTAATGGCTAATTAAAGTCTCTGAAGTTCGTAACTGAGGCTGGAAATTGTGTACTAACCCTATTGCTATTCTGCTTCTTCCAATTGTAGCTGAAATAAGGCTGTAAAGAAATGGTTTAAAAAACCCGCAAAAAATCCAAAGTGCGATCTTAAAAAAGTCGGAGGGGGGAGGGGGAGGTGCGGAGAGATGTTTTGGTGCTGGTTTGCCTTACTGGCTAGTTAATAAGCCTCTTGTGTTTTTCTTTCTCAGTCAGGTCAGCTGAATGAGTACACAGAGAGAAAGGAGATGTCAGCCGATGTAGTTTGCATGAGCCTGGCCAATGTTCCCCCTGGGGAGCAGCGCTCCCGATTCCTTGCCGTTGGGCTGGTGGACAACACTGTCAGAATTATTTCCCTTGACCCTTCGGTGAGTAGCTGTTCTGATTCTGCCTCTTGCATTGGCTTGAAATGTTCAGAAGGGTACTCCAGAGGTGGTCTGTGTCCATCCAAGCTGTCTTTCTGTATTGAGGTGGATGACCAGGAATGAAGAGCTTGTGTGGCTTTCCTTGCTGGTTGGGAGGAAGTATGGCCCTTGATCCTAACCTGTAACAGATTCCCTTGTTTTATCTAGTCTCACCCATGCCTGGAGGTTCAGCTGATGAGATATGAAAGCATTTTCTTCTTGGTTTTTTTTTGTTTGTTTGTTTTGGTTCCCCACCCCCTGGTTTCACTGTTTATACCTGTACTAAAAGCAGACTCATTCTGCAAGCAGGTCAGCAGCAAAACAGCATTATCATTCCTGCAACAGATGAGTGTTCAAAGGATGACTGAAGTAACATACACTTTCCTCAGGTCTCTCCCTGCTACCACTCCTGCTTGCCAAAACCCCCAAAGCCAGTGTCTATTGTGACTTTTTTCTGTGCTGAATACTTACTTATGGAGATTTAAAAGGACATCTTTAAGCTCCTTAGATGGCGCTTGAATCCCCTCTTGCCATGCCAAGCCTTGCTGACTGGTGTGGTACCTCTTTTCTGTCTCCCACAGGATTGCTTACAGCCCCTGAGTATGCAGGCCCTTCCTGCACAGCCTGAGTCTCTGTGTATTGTAGAGATGGGTGGCACAGAGAAGCAAGACGAGCTGGGGGAGAGAGGCTCCATTGGCTTTCTGTACCTGAACATTGGACTGCAGGTGAGAGGTGCCTTCCTGGTTCTGACAGGCATTTCTTGGTGAGCCTTTACTTGAAAGATGGATTGCTAAGATAGTCTTGTCATCATGCAGTGCAACAAGGCAAAGCCTGACTGTTCCCTCTTTGTTACAACATGCTTAACAACTGTGACTGGGGAATTCAGTGTGTGACTTAGTAGAGGTGCAAGTTTCTGTACACGTTCCTAAACTTGAGACTAGTCAAAAGACAGCATTTTGTCCCAGACTTCATGTAGGGCAAATTGTGCTTCTACCCTTTCAGAAAGAGGGCATGTTCTAAAAAAAATTTCTGGGTGAAATGTTATTGGGCAGTTCTTTAGAAAGTGTCTGTAGGGCAGGGTATCAAAGAAGTAACTGCCCACAACCACAGGCTCTGCTCTAATAACTCCACTGTTGCACAGCTTTTTGTTGCATCCAGGACTGACTCTGTGATCTTTGACCAAAAAATGTTGTTTTGTCAATTCAACATGTGGTAAAAATAACTAGAGCAGTCTAGGTTCTTTTGCATGCCTTGAGTTTGATGTCAGAATGCAAGCTCTTTTTAAGCAGCATGAGTTTTGGGGTAAATGCTTTAAAGTAGCAAGAGGGATTAGGATCTGAAATTAACCCTCAGGTTTTTCATGGCTTATGTGATGTACCAACATTTTTGACTTTTTTTGTTTGTTGGGGGGTGTGTGTTTGTTTTACAGTATTTACTTTCTGCCCCGCATGAGCTATGCTTTTCAGTATTAAAAGCCAATTTAGATACAGCATGGTTGTAGAAGGTAGTGGTACTGGAAGCTAGGAAAACAAACACCTAATTCTTAAGAAATTGCCTCTCTGTTTTGAACAATGGCTGTAGCTAGTTACTTCTTATCTGTAATCTTGATCTAACTTTTTGGTTTGCTAATGTCAAGAATGGTGTGCTGCTGCGAACTGTCCTGGATCCTGTTACTGGTGATCTTTCCGATACCAGGACCAGATACCTTGGCTCACGGCCTGTGAAACTCTTCCGAGTCCGAATGCAAGGCCAAGAGGCGGTAAGTGAGGCAAGCTCTCAGAGGGGTGCAGATCTAGTCCCCAGGTGCAGCATCCTGGTTTTCCGTATTGGTGGGCAAGGTGGGAAAGTATCTTTGCATCACAGCAGGACCCTCTGGGTAAGGGTGGGAAGTAGAATGACTTCATTATGGAGCTGCCTGACTTGCAGCTTGGTCTTTCACAAACCACCTTGTTCTTATTGGTATTCCCCTTACTTCTTAAGAAGTAATGTGTAGTGCTGTCCTGCCTTCTTTGAACTAGGACTGTGTTTGCAGTGTGTCTAGAAAGCTCAGACCAGATTCAGTGTTTTTCAGACACTGAAAAACCTCATCTTGCCTGTCTCAGTGCACAGAGACAGAAAGAGCCTCATACAGAAATCTTACCCCTTGACTGCCTGATGCAGTGGATGGTCATCTCCTGTGCATGTTGAGAATGGCTCAGCCAGGGGCTGGACAGCTGCCTTGCACAGTTCAAGGAAAATACTTGTAGGATTTGGCATAGAGGGAAGAATGTGTTTCATCTGAAGTGCCATTTCCAGCCCTTCTGATGTGGCACCGGGGACATCAGCCACCCCCTGCTTGACTCATTTTTGGATGACACCTTCAGAGTTGAGAAATATTGACGGTCAGCGTAGGGGGCTGGATCTGAGAATCTGAGCTCTGCTTTAATGTTATGGTATGCTGGGTGAATCTTTTCAACTTACTCCTGCCAGTTTGCCAGCTGTAACTTGGAGGTGAGGTGCTTTGCAGCTCTAGCAGAGGATGCTTATAGAATAGCTGAGTGCTTTTCTACTTTGAGACCAGTCTTGGTTCCTTGTCTCACAGTATGGGGAGAAAAAACATACTGCTTATGGCCAGTGATGGGCTTGGAGTAGCCTGTGAGTGTTTCAATGTAATTTCAGCTTTTGTCACTCAGGCAGAAAGTAAGGTTGCACTGAAATGGATTTACCCAAATGTATAAAGCTGAAGAGTTTAGAAGTCCATCTGCTTCCTTTGTTTCCCTTAACTTGATTGAAAATAGGCTACTGATTATTTTAAGTAAATTTTGCTTAGAGTGCTACAGTGTTTGGAGTGCGACAAAGCAGTAAGTATTTATTTTAAAAGACCTGTTCCCATTAGAAGAGGCGCTTTTTTTTTTAAAGAGATAGAAAAGTATTTGATCTTGACTTTTACAGATAACAGTTTTTATTGCGCCTCAGTTTGAGGATTTGTTGTCTTGATAGTGCTTTAAAGTTCCTCTTCGTGCCATATGCAATTTCCTAGATAAAAGTGTCTCTTGAAAGCAAGCAGTATCTCTGAAGGTGTGCTCTGAGCTGGGTGGAGTCCACCCGCAAGAATTCAGTTGTTCTAGTGGGTAAGAGTCCAGCGCTGTACATCCATCCATTCATATTGCAAGGAGTGAGCTTGCCTCCATCCCCAGACCTAACAAATTTTTTGTCTGTCTTTGCCAGGTGCTGGCCATGTCAAGCCGTTCCTGGCTCAGTTATTCCTATCAGTCACGCTTCCACCTGACTCCCCTGTCTTATGAGACACTGGAGTTTGCGTCTGGTTTTGCTTCTGAGCAGTGCCCAGAGGGCATTGTAGCCATCTCCACAAACACATTGAGGTAAGAACTGATGGGGGAAAACAAATACTTCTGGGCCAGGATGCTAGGCAGAGGGAAGGGTGGTGAATTCTCATTGAACATTCAAAAGGAAAGAGGTAAAGTCACTTACCTTAAGAATTAAGGGTTTTTTTGAGGTTATTTGATTATGGATAATGATTTGATAAAAACATTTGGGTGGATTTCAGAAAACAAATGGAATACAAGGATGGTTATGCTGTCAGAAAGAAATAGGGTACACTTAAATAACAAATGTAATTCAAGTTATCCTTAAATTCTCTGATCCTTAGAGAGGAGGGAAGCTTTTAATAAATGTGAACCTATTGTGTGTTAGGATCTTGTGGTTTGTGATCTGAATTGGCTACTTTGCAGAAAATAAGCCATGTGATTTAAGAAATCAGAGGCATGACAGGGGTGTACTTGTTGCCTTTTTAAAGTTCAGCTTAGCTATTAAAAAGATAAATGAAAATAATAGGGCAACACAAATTCAGGAGCTCTGCTTTATGCACTTGAACAGGCGCTTTTTTCATATCTGTCCTCATTGAAATATTACAGCATTCACTGCTTTTAAATGAGTCATTCTTTCTGGAGAGACTTGTGGTTTTTAGTCACCAAATGCCAGAAGAACAGGCATTTCAGCTGGCAAGTCACAGGAAGAAAGACTTGGCATTGCATTTTTTCATACTCTTTTAACCACAGTGCCTCTGAGGAGCATTTGATTACATGTCAAAGTCTGTGTCGCGTTTAGAGTCAGATGATGTGTTCCCCAAATGTGCACTTTCCCTCTTCCGTGTGTTTGTTGTTCCTCTTGGTATAGACTTGCTTCAGCACCGCAGAAGCCTGTCCAAAAGGGACAGGCACTTGGGACCCCACGCTGCAGAGCACACCTGTCCCACATCATAAGCTCCCATTTAGGCTACTAGTTTTGTCCTTCTTTCTGGAGGTGTTTGCTAGTTGCTCTCTGGCCCAAGAAAGGTGCTACTTGTCTCCAGCACTAGCCAGTTTCACAGACGTAAAGCTCAACTCCAGTCGTGTTCTCTTGGGCAGTTGCTTTCAGACCTTGTTTAACATATCACATCTTTGTCCCCCAGGATTTTGGCACTGGAGAAGCTGGGGGCAGTCTTCAACCAGGTTGCCTTCCCGTTGCAGTACACACCCCGAAAATTTGTCATTCACCCAGAGAGCAACAACCTGATCATCATTGAGACAGATCATAATGCTTACACTGAGGCCACCAAGGCACAGAGGAAGCAGCAAATGGCCGAGGTAATTGGGGTGGGGGACAGGTACGCACATCCATTCCCCAGAGGTGACTTCCCCAAGAGGTGACTTCTGCAGATGGAAGTTGTCCCTGCTCACTAGTTCCCAGCTGCCGTTGCCTGCAAGTTTTTGTGCCCTGTGTGAATGCAGGGGCCGAAGGGAGCAAAGATCTGCCTCGAAACACAAATTTCAGGAGAATACACTTCTTCCTAATGCTCCTTTCTTTGCATGTTATTATGGCAGGCTTTAAGAACCATGTATTGGAGGACAGTTTTACTTGTGTAAGACTATTCTCTGGGTTTTCTGTGACTGAGGATGTGTTTGGATTTCTGTGGGTTATTTTCTTCTCAGTGTTGTTTTCAGAGTTGCTGGTTTGGAGAAATAGCTCCCCAGATAACTGTCCCTTGGGCAGGGCAGAGCTGACACTGCTGTGCTCTGAGCTGCAGAGGCTCCTGTGGGAATAAGCTCAGGGCAGGTGGAAGCTTTAGGATTTGGTGGCTTTTATGTCTTCACAGGCAGTACCTTGCCATGGGATACCTGGAGTTAAGGGAATGGCAGGGTGGCTATATTTTATGCAGAGCATCAGCATGTCTGGAAAGGAAACCCACTGAGCTGTTCTTTTCTTCTGCCCTTTAATGTGCCATAGGAAATGGTGGAGGCTGCGGGTGAAGATGAGAGGGAGTTGGCTGCAGAGATGGCTGCAGCCTTTTTGAACGAGAATCTTCCTGAGTCTATCTTTGGTGCTCCCAAGGCAGGGAATGGACAGTGGGCTTCTGTTATCAGGGTGATGAACCCCATCCAGGGAAATACATTAGATCTGGTCCAGCTAGAGCAGAACGAAGCTGCCTTCAGGTAAGAAGCCTTGTCAGATGCAGCAAGAATCTCTGCTTGTGATGAGTCTTACATGTTTTTTTTTTTTTTTCCTCCTTCTGCTCAGCTGTTACTGAGTTGAAATCCAGATGCAGCATGTTATCAAGAGGCTGGCTTGAAATTCCAGAAGTGATTGCCACATGCTTAAGGCTTTTCTCTTGCCTTTCTTTCCCTTGCCACCCTGATCTGTCTGCATGTGACACTAAGAGCTGGTGCTCCAGATGTTTTTGCTGGACCCCAGTGCTTAAAGAACAACACAAGGATGTAAATGACAGATAAGAGAGCCAGGAACAAGAGAATGTGCTGCTATCTTTCACTTCCCCTTCTCATCCAGATAAACTGAGCATGGATTAAATGGAAAGGAAATGTTAGAGGGACTGGAGGGAAAGACCAACACAATAACCATGAAGAATAGTGAGTGCTTCAGCAGGTAGAGTTAGGTCACGCTAGTCCAAAAGGCTGACTGTTCTGTTTTGTCCAGAATTCCCAACCTGGCTGAATTAGGCAATGGGCAGGAAATAACACTGGAAGATGAAGAAAGTTATATGTACATGTCCCAGTTGGAACAGCCTTCGAAAAACAGCTTCTGGTGGAGCTTTGCACATTGCTAGGCAGTGTCCAGCTTGTGAAAACATAAAACTAACACTTTGGGCATATGTGACAGCTGGAGCACATCTTTTTATATGGGGAGTGTGGAAGAATGAAGGAATCTGCATTAAACATTTCTGCAGGGAAGAAAAATGACTTCTGAAAATGAAATGACAGTGTTGGAAGGGTGGGCTCCCAAATCTCTGCCTGCCTAGGTGCAAGTTGTGCTGTCGGGGAATCCAGTCTGTATGCACAGCATTGGTTTGTGTCGTGATCACGCTGATCTCCTGGCATGTCTTGTCATCCCCAGCGTGGCTGTGTGCAGGTTCTCCAATACTGGTGATGAGTGGTACGTGCTAGTGGGAGTCGCCAAGGACCTGATTCTGAACCCACGCTCGGTTGCTGGGGGATTTGTTTACACATACAAGCTGGTGAATAGTGGTGAGAAGCTGGAGTTTCTGCACAAGGTGAGAGGGATGAAAAGGCCTGTTTGAGTGACTGGGTCCTTTACAGGCAATATTGGAATAGCTGTTATTTCACCCCGAATGCTATAGTGATATCACAGTAGTCAATGAATCCTGGGCAACATCATCATGCTGATGTTACACGCTGGAAGCAGCCTCAGAGAAAATAAGCTACATCCTCCACAATCACTTGGGACATCTTTTGCAGAGCTAAGAATTGAACACAGATATCCTGAGAGTCCCGGTCCTTTGCCTTGGCTATAGTCTTATCCATCTAATTGGGTAAATGGTAAAGGAGCAGTGTTTTTTGTGCCCCCGCTAGGGAGGGGAGAGGATCAGCTCTGTTTTCTTTTTAGAATATGAGCTCAGAGAGCTGCTCTGAGCACTTGTTTACAAAGTGAATTCATACTTGGGTCACTTGAGCCCTGATGCTAAGGCTCTCAGTCCTTGGCTGGCTGCATGAAACTGGTGTGAGCTGTCATCTTTCCTCTGATGCTGTTTTGGTTGCACGTAGAAATGATTAGTCGCCTAGTGACCAACTTGCTTGACGGGTCTCTGGGGCTTTAGCGAGGGTTTCAGCAGAAGTCCGTTAAAATTCTGTTATTCAAAACAAAATTTTGTTGTTCTTCCCACGCGCTTCCAGCATGGCCGAGATTTGAGCAGATGAGCACATGGAAAGGAGTGTTGCACCTTATTTCCTACAGTACTGATGCAATGAGTGGGTTCTGTCCTGGACCTTTTCTGGTGCCACTGAACACCCACTTGGAAGTTGACAGAGCTGATGATGTCAAATAACTTCTATTAGCCAATGCAACCAAGCTGGGAACGCTGTAACTGGAAGCTCTCTACGTGTTCCCATTCTCTGCTGTGGCTGATCCTTTTGGTTTGATTAGGTGGGAGATCTTTTGAGCCCCGAGTTACTGGAATTGTGGGCACACTGTAATTGTTCAGATGTTACACCTCAGTGGCAGCTTCAGAGCGTCTGTGGCAGATGGCTGAATTAGATTCATGCCTTTGTTTTAAAAACAGACAATCTGGATGGATTTAGGCAAAGCATAAAATCTTTCTGTGGGGGATAAAGCAACACTAAGAACCCAGGCAACAAGATCCTTGCCTTCCTTTGCTGCCTGCCCAGCATGGGATTCTTACAGGGTTCCTACACTTCAGTTAAGGTGCACTGCCAGCAGGGTGTTGTCTGTGTAGTACCCAGAGCTCTGTTAGTACCACATGTGGTATATGGTGCTGTCAAAAGGCCTACAGACAACTGACCTTTTGCCCCTCCTGCCCCCTAGAAAAAGGTTGTGATTAGCCTTTTGCATAGAAAGACTTGGCACAGGCCAACGATCTTCAACTGAACCATTAGGTGAATCCATTCTGAAACTTGGTGTAAGGTTAGCTCTGTTAATAGGGGTCTCACAGTCGTAGTCTTCCCTCTCTAGACTCCTGTGGAGGAGGTTCCTGCAGCCATTGCTCCGTTCCAAGGTAGAGTCTTAATTGGAGTTGGAAAGCTCTTGCGTGTTTATGACCTGGGCAAGAAGAAACTGCTTCGGAAGTGTGAGAATAAGGTACTGTCTTTTGTTCTTGATGAGGGCTGTTAACTTGGAGCAAGTGATGCTTTGCAGCATGAGTGAAACAAGGGTTTAGCTGCTACTCCAGCCCAAGTGTGTCTGTGTACCTGGACTTCAGAGCTGTGTCTGTGCCTTGCTGGTGTGCACTGCGTGCATGCATCTAGAGCAGTGTTGGCAGCTCTGGCTGGACTGGGCTGTTGTGCTGCTCCTCTGCACTCCGAGTACACATTTCTCTCCCATCGCCAGTCAGGTAGTAGTGGTGCAGATTCCTTTTTGTACCAGCTCGGTGCAGGCTGTTAACGGATGTGTGTGGGAGTTTCACAAGCCTGCACAGACCATGCCTTTGGCCGTCTGCTGCAAATGTGAGAGGTCTTACAAAACTACTGTTTAGGTTAGGTGATCAGCAGGCTGGGGACAGAAGTTGGAGGATGCATAGGAGCACTTCTTCAGATCCCAGAATCTTGAAAAGGGGATTTTCTCCTTGAAGTAGATGATCCTTCTTGCTCAGCATCTCTGGTACTTCAGGAAAATAAATTGCAGAGCATGGTTTTCTAACTCTTAATTGCCTGCTCCTCCCTCTGTCATGCAAGCTGCAGAACCTGTGCCAATTTCTCATTACTGCACAAAGGAACTCCAGCAAGCTCACAACAGACTGGGAACTTGTAGAACATTGTTTTGGGGGGGGGGTGGTGGTGTGTGTGGTGTTTGGGGGGGGGGGGGGGGGGTGTGCA